AGTATGCCCTATACCTTGATGGTACTTGCAGTGTGCATTGGGGTTCCAACTAGCCGTCCTCTTTTCGACTGGTGGATCCCCAAATGGTCCAATGGGAGTAATGAGTCCCTTGGCATGGAGTCGATTGATAGCAGTATCATAGTTCATCTCAACAAGGGTGAACTTTTTCTTTAGTTGCTTTTTAGGTCTTTGGTTATCCGTACAACTTGCATTATGATAAGAAGAAATGGAAGAAAGATTGTCATTCTTCCTACTCTTGCCATCATTATTATTGATTTTGACCTTATTGTCTCTTGGAGAAATACTAAGGCAATTCGTATCAAGAAGGTCTTGAATTCGGTCTTTTAGGGTGAAACACTCTTCAGTGGTGTGACCATGGCCTTTGTGATATCCGCAATTGGAAATTGGATCACAATTGGGAGACCGTTTCTCAGGTGGAGGGTATTGGCTTGGACCAATGGGATGAATAAGGTTTCGACCATGATAATAGTCAAAAGCTTTATTATAAGTCATTATTCCTATTGGTTTGTATTCTTCAATGGTTCGTTTTACTCGTGGTTTTGGAGCATTGAGTTTTCCTTTATGTTCTTGATGGGGAGAAGAAGGAGGAAGAGACTTGTCCTTTTCATTCTTATGGCGTTGTTCGATAACTGATATCCCAATTTGCTAGGCCTTCCACCATATTCAAGAGCATGGCGATGATATCTTGTAGTTTCCGAACGTCTTCTCTTACACTTGTCGAGTTTTCCTTGATATCATATAAGAAATTTCCTTCATCCTCCTCAATCATGGTCACTTCATCGATAGAAGTTATAAAGTCTGCCTCGATCAAAGGCTCGCCTACAAGTGTGATAAGGAGCGAAATATTGAATGATGCTTAATCTTCTAGATGGCTAGGGTTTCTGACGTTTTATTGTCATCAATCAGGTCTTGAATGGCTTTTTTGAGTTTCCAACACTCCTTAGTGTCGTGATCCTTTCCTTGATGATATTTGCAGTGTTTATTATGATCCCACTTAGGTGGCCTAGCTTCTGGAACTCAGTCTTTGATGGGTCCTATGGGCATGACAAGTCCTTTGTGGTGTAGCTTTTCGAAAGCTGTCTCGTTACTCATACTGAGTGGAATGAACACTCTTTTCGACCTTTGGATTCGTTGTTTAGAGATGTTTCTAGCGAGCACTTCATTAATGGGAAAGGAAGAAAAAGGATGGTCGTTCTTCTTTCCTTTCGCACTATCAACTTTCAAAAGGCCGTCTTCGATATCAATGACCATGTCTTAGACACCTGATCGAGGGTTAGATAGGTCGTTAAGCTACTACCCTAATCAAGTTAATCATTTATAATATCTAAACCTACACTAAACTAGTTAGTGGCAAGTAAAGGGTCGAACCACTAGGGAAGCACACTAATTCAACATCAATAATCACTAATGCAAGAGTGAAAAGGGGATTGTTTTTGTTGGTTTTGTTGAGTAAGAACACTAAAACTACAAATAAGCAAGAAAATGATAATTAAAATCAAGGGAAAATGACGCTAGGGATACGGGGGTGTCCAATATGATTAGAAAGTGGGGAATAATGGTGATTATCATGAAACACATGCCAAAGAACACAAGATTCTACCTAAGCAATTCATTCTCATGCAATAGTCTAGGAAAATCAATGAAAGAGGTCTACACTAATAAGGACCATTCTCATGCATCCTATTAGTTACAATCAAATCAAGAGAATAAAGAAGCACAATCCATAAAAACTCCACTTTAATAACTCATTATCATGCAATCATTAAAATAGAGATGATCTTAATCTAGTTCAAATCACTTTCATGCATTTAAACTAGAAAACATCAAATAGAGTGCAACAATAATCTCAAGCTATTAAAAATCATGTCTTTCATCAATTTATGGCATAAGCTCAATCTAACCATCATCATTCATCCAATATCAACTCATATCTTCCACCCCCTTCCCCTAGCTAAAAGTTTAGCCTAGAAAAGGGAGATTAAACATAATATCAAAACTAGGAATAAACTCAAGAAACTCAAAACAAAACATGATTAAAATCAATGAAATCAATAACAAATAGATGAACTAATAAGATTAACAAGAATAAGTAACAATAAAACAAATAAATAAAACTAAAGGAAAGGAGAAGAGATTACTAAAGAAAGGATTAATGAAAGATGAAAACTTGGATTCTTGCTTGATTGATTGAAGATTAAAACTTGCGCAAAGTTGAATACAATGAAGGATGCTTGAATAACAATCTACTTTCTCTCTCTAGATTAGGCTAATATTCTATGGAATTAGTACTAAGTATTCTTTATTACAAAGAATCCCGTCTATATATATGTGGCTCCCCCCAAAGAAAGAAACTTGGGCAACAAGGTGCAAAGAAATCAGAAACCCAGCGGTGCGCGCCCGCACACGACATATGCGCGCCCGCGTAGTAGAAGTGTGCGCCCTCTCAGTACAGTAAACCTGCGCGCCCGCACAGAAGCCGCACAATAGGTTGTGCAAACTCTCTGGTTTGGCTCTGTTTCTTCAGCCTGGCTGCGCGGGTTCTGCCAAGGGTGCGCGCCCGCACAGCCAAGGGTGCGCGCCCGTGCAATAGCCGCACAACATCCCGCGCAGAACTGTTTGCTTGGCTCCTTGAAATGCTCTTTCTTTCGGCACAAAATACCTACAAAACAAAAGCATGGAAATCAAAATAAAGAGAAGGCAAGAAGACTAAGAAAAGGGAAGATAAAGGAGAAACGAAAAGAGGAAACTAAACTAGGTAAAAATGCTAAGAAAAAGGGCCAAACAAGTGCAAATGAGAGGAGAATCCTTAGAGAAAAAGGATAAAAGAGTGGCATAAATGCCACTCATCAAAAACCCCCACACTTGCCTCTTGCTTGTCCTCAAGCAAGGAAAACTGCAGCAAAAAGACAAATACAACAAACATAACATGACAAGGTTTTAGCAAAACCAATCAAGCCTCAAGGTAAGGAAATGCTCCATTTGGACTCACACGCAAATAAATGCACCAAAGAATACTTATCTTTCTCAATTCAAAGAAGGAAAAAATGTTCCAAGATGCTCAAGGTTGAAAAAGACAAACCTAAGCTAAGCATAGAGAATTAATGATTTCATTCTCCGCCCTAGCCCCAACCAAGACGGTTCGCGTTCTCTCCACTAGCTTCAATTCATCCCCTAGCTAGCTCCTCATGATTCCTCGAGGGAACCGAAAAAAGAAATTTTTATGTGGAATCATAAGTTCATCCCGACATCTTAACACTAGGCAAAAAAACCACTTAGCCACCGGTTCAAAACCCCCCTAAGCCACCGGTTTTGAACCGGTGGTCATTTGGGGGGTGGCAATAACCCCAAGAAAGGCCACCGGTTCAAAACCGGTGGCAAAAATGATTATTGCCATCGGTTAACCGGTGGCAAAAACCCATTCCCGCTTTTTTTTAAAGGGGTTTTTGGCACCGGTTCTGTTCAAAACCGGTGGCAAAAATAGCCCAAAAAAATAATTTTTTTTTTTTTTTGCATTTTTTCCACATAAATTGATATATAAACACTAACATATATATATATATACACTTACATATTTTCGTTAAAAAAGGCTGTAATATTACAATTTTGGTCCAAAAAACATAAAAAAAATACTAGTCACTGTTAAATACAATCTAAGTCACACCAATGTAACATCCTTGGCGAGGCAGCAACAACCTTGCGTATAGATAAAATCTTCCAATAGTCCTCGTATATTTTCTCTTTTGTCACCTCCTCTGACATTGATCTAGAATGCTCCACCACTCCAATAAGCGATAAATGCAATTGTCCCTCTTTGTGGACCTGCAAGCTTGTTCAAGCAACATATCTTAATATATACTTCGTATACAGTCCTTACTACACCACACTCACAATAAAGGTAGCATGATACAGAATGCATGCATATTGCAATAAACACAGCTAAGCAGAATTTACACAAACAAACTGAAATTTCACTCTCTACATTCATATGGTTCACCCCACCCTCCTTTTCTTGTCCTAGATTGGGAAACTCCATTATTATGAACTTACATGACTGTTTAGTCAACACAAAAACCAAAAAAAAAGGAAAGGGAATAAAAAGCTGGCACCTCAAATTCAAACATGCTTATGAGGGAGTGCTCTATCTCTTTTAAAGTGCCAAGTATTTGTAGCACATAAACATATATATATATATATATATATATATATATATATATATATATATATATATATATATATATATATATATATATATCATAATATCAAAACCAGGCAGCAAGAGCAGTAAAAGCAAGTAGCTGAAATTAGTAATTAACACAAGTGCACCAAGAGAAATGCATATCATACTTAAGGATCCCTTCTTTCACCAAAACTCAAAATTAAGAAACCTAAGACACATCGGCACCACATAGGCACATCACATCAGCATTGTATTTAGAAATAATCAAATCTCACAATCACACCACATAGGCATATCGCAGCAGCATCAATAATAATGCATAATAACAAAGAATCAATCACAACAACATAATACAAAAATATCATCGTCAAATGTCAAAATTATCAGAAAACTAATTTGATTTTGACCCCTTACAATTAGCACCAGAATATTTCCAACAAAAAGCAAATTCAACCATATATAACCAATCAAATACTCGAAGTAAGGCAAAATAAACATGATAGATCCTACTTGCTCGGTTTAATATATAAGAGCACACTCAAGATAGATCCTACTTGCTCAGTTTTATCAGCTTATTATACTCTAATGATTAGAACATATCCTAATAAATTTGCCCGTATTTAATACCAATAAATCACAGAGAATTAGAACAGTTCTACTAATTGAAGCACATACCAATTCAACGATCTTCATAGTCTCAACAAAAAAATCAAAATACAATGACTGTGTAATGCCATCAAGGTAGTGGGGGTTGCAAAGGATTGTCTAGTCGTTTTTGCAACTATTCAAACTTTAAGTTCTGCCAAGTAATTTCAATTTCATTAATTAGCATCATCTTAGAACCTTTTACTAGCAAATCTTAGAACCATTTCATCAACAAAACCAAACAAAAATCACTCAAAAATCGCAGAAAAATTCAAAAAAAAAATAAAAAAATAAATTAAAATCACCAAAAATTGTGCTAAAGATGCCTTGATCTAATTGTAAAATAACAAGAGCATACAATTCTATTGTTTATCTCTTTTATAAGAGCTATATATTCAAGCATGTGATCACAATTTGTAAACATAGTAGCTTTATTACTTTATTACTAAAAAAAATGAGGAAACATTGTAGATATAGTAGCTCACAAAGAAAATGCACGATCTTGAAAATAAATTGGTTAAAAGTTTTCAATCTAAGCTGCAAATGTCATAATCTATGGGCAGGATAATAATCCTAAAGTTATTAGGAATATACATGGTTACACCTAAAACTATCAAGTTTTTCAAGGTCCAACCTCCCTTTACTTTTTCCTTGTTACTTTGAGCAGGCCCTATTTAGTGTAACTTTGTAAGTCTTGCACATACAAAACCACAAATGCAACTTCAATCCAACACCAAGTAAGCATATAGATTAATAAGAGTAATATAAAACCATAGCTTTCAAATAACAAAATTAGCAAGGTAATTCATCTTGTAAGTGATATTATCTATCTGCTACCTATTTGTTCTGTAGTTCAGCAATTGGAACTATCATTTCTCCTGGACATGGGAATCTCACATTAAGTACTCTTTCTTGTCTATCACATAACAACTATGGAAATACTATCAGACCAAAATTCACATAACATCACAAATTAAGGCAACTGTAATCATGTTTTATACACAATTAGACCAAAATTCAATCAAACAAAAATTAATCCATAGGTCTAAGTACCCACCAAAATCCAGCAAAAACCAAGCAAAATTTCCCACAATTCTGGGTTAAAATTGATTCAAGCTCAATAATCAATACATTTTATCAAACAACTAACAAATCTATCAGCTAAATGGCAAAAAAAAAAAAATTCAGAAAAAACAACCAAAAATAGCTTTTAATAGTGTTAATTTCAGCTCAGAATAAAATCAGTGTAATTTTTAGTAAAAGGATCTTACAGTGTAGATGATTCCTTTGTCTTCTGCTTCTTCTCATCTCTCTCCAACGCCCAAGCGAAGTCGATTCGCTGAATCAAATTCACCGTTTTCTCTTCGTATTCAATTTCGCTGAGAAAATTTCACAAATTCAAATCAAAATCACCAAAAATTGCACAAAAAATTAGGTCAGATTAAGTTATTACATAAATGGAGGAGAGAGAAACTACGGGGAAAAGCGTTCGGTGCCAGATTCTTCGACCCGTCCGCCATTTTTGAGCTTTTGCATGTGTTTTATGGTTTTAGGGGAGATTTTCGATTTTGCAACTGAGCCCTAACTACGGCAAGAGAGATAACGAGAGAGAAGAAGATGAGAGATAGATGGCGGCGGCGATGATGGTTGTTGAGAATGGGAGAGAAGTGGCGAGGGGAGATCGCAGGAGAGAAGTGAGGGGAGATCGCAGGAGAGAGAAGGGAGAGGAGGGGAGGCTGTAGAGAGGAGAGTGATAGGGTTAGGGTTTATGAAGGGGCGGTTTTTTTTTAAAGACAGAGCCACCGGTTTTGAACCGGTGGCATTAATAATTTCCCCACCGGTTCGGTTTGAACCGGTGGCAATACCCTTTCCTCATAATCTCGCCGATTTTTCCCCCTTTTTTTGCCACCGGTTTTTAAAAACCGGTGGCCATTGCTCGGTGCCAATTTCTATTTTTCTACTAGTGCAACTATGCATAATCTCTCCATAGGGTTGAAATCTACCTCCCTCCACCGTTCTTTGACCATGCCCCTCTAAAATCCAAGGATCTTAAGTAGGGTTGTAATGTCATGGCTAGGGGTTAAGGTTGGGAAACAATTTGAAAATTTTGGTGGCAATTCCTAAGTGAAGCATAAGAGTGGCCATCTCTCAAGAACATCCTAAGAATTGAACCTATTCTCAAACTTATAACCTTCCAAAACAAACCACACCACATTACTCCAATCTTTTTCATATTTTTTTCACTATTTTATTTTATTTTTATTTTATTTTTTGGTTTTCATGAGTTTCAACTTTCTTGCCAAACCTTTTTGCATACTCTTTTCATGAATAATCTTTCAAAACCTTACTTGAACCATAATACACAACTTTCTTGCTCAATTTCAACATTATCAAACTCGAACCTCACAAGCCAATGCTTCACTAACTACAAGGATTGGTAGAACATAGGCCGATAGGTTTGTAATATGGCTAAGTCAAGAAAGGGGAAATAAGGCTCAAATTTGTTAGCAAGTTGGTGAATGTAAAAAATGAAAACCAAATTTGTAACAAAACACAAAGAAAACAAAGAAAAATGAGAAGAAATGCCCTATTCCTCCTCTAGAGTTATATGGTCACGATCTTGGGAGCTAGACGCCAATACAATGATTAAGATATGCATAGTTAAGGATCCTAAATGCCGCTCACAAGAATGATGAAGGCTAGAACAAATGACGCTCACACGGGATAAGAAATATAGCAAATCCCAACCAGGGGAATCCTATCCACCATAGAGAGAAACACCATCTTACCACTTTCCCGTGAACTAGGGCTAAACCGGGCTACCTTAGCTTACAATGTGTCTAATTCAACCCAAAGCATTCTCAAACCGTGTAAACCCTCATCAATTAGGAAGATAAGCATTCAAAGACACATCGTCAAGAGAGGCAAACCAATCCAAAAGAGTGAGCAAATTACAAATCAAAAATCATTTCAAATTGTCATAATTATGCTTGTAACACAAAAAGGGGAAAACAAAACAAAAGAAAGAGGAAGAAATTTAAAAAGGTTCACATACGAGACATATAATCCAATTAAATCCCAATCGTCATACAAGTGATCGTTCGATAACAACATCAACGATCACAGGTTCCATAGAACCAAAAGCAAACATCCTCGAACCATTCAACTTATTCCTAAGCTAAACCTAAGCTAAACACCCAAAGAAAAAGAAAATAAAAGAGAGGAAAGGTCTCACCAAACGCCGCTTGAAATGAAGACAAGATAAATTATGCAATCTCACCGAGGGGCCTCGATTTGCCCCTTAACTTCCTTTATCTCCATTTCCAAGCTTGAAAAGTGATCCAAAGCGAAAGAAACCACTGAGATAAAACAAAAATAAATAAAAAAGCTAAAAATCAAAGAAGGAAACTAGAACTTTAAACAAAATGAAGAAATAGAAATAAAATAAAACAATCTAACAAAAATTTGGATTAAGGGAAATTTGGATTATCGAGAGTTTGGATTTTTCTTCATAGGAGCGCGATCACCTACACAAACACTTGAAAATTCATTAGCAAAAGTTAATCAAAATCACCCAGAGACATCATCATCACAATCAAGAAGATAAATCAACATCAAACATGATAAAGCCAACCGAACCATGTAAGCTCTACCACCTACAATGAAGTCCCCCCACACTAGCATGATGACAAGCCTTTCCCCACACTATAAAAAAAACATCCCTTTTCTTCTTACACACCCCCCACACTAAAACAATGCATCGTCCGCGGTGCGCCAAATTAAAACATTGGGAGGGGGCAAAGGGAAGAAATAAAAAAACAAGGGGGGCTAGTGGCCACTAGGGTGGGCTTCGTCATCATCTCCATCATCCTCGGTGTCGTAAGAGAAACCGTCCAAAGGGATGCCGTGTGGGTCCCAACCACCGGTGAAACCCGGAGGCCAACCATAGTGACCTCGAAAGAGGTCTTGTTGCCATTGAGGCAACGGGTCGAAAGGGGCGGGAAGCTGAAGAGGGGAAGAGTTGGTAGGGTCGACATATGGATAGTTGGGGTCACCCCTAAAATCGCTCCCCCCGGGGAACGATAATCGTACCCTTTTTCCGTCGGGTAGTCTACCATATGGAGGAGGGCCCTTGCAAATAGGACCAAGTAGGTTGCAATCTTTGCCACTGAGGGACCGGGCCTTGTTGGGGTGGCCAATAGGGGTAATTTACTGGGGGGGTGACCTCACCCCTATCCACGGCCGCACCATAGAGAGCTTGGCTTTGCATAAACATACCCTGTTAGTTCTCCATCAGGCTTTGCATGCCAAGTTGCATGCTCATCATTTGTTGTTCAAGGCTACTCATGCCTTGATGTTGTTGTTGTTGCTGATGATGTTGTTGTTGTTTTTGTTGTTGTTTCTGATGTTGTTGTTGTTGTTGTTGCTGTTGTTGTTGTTGTTGATAAACTACCATATTCCTTGCGCCACCCAAAGTAGTGGGTAACACACCATTGTCTCGCGGAATTTTCCATATATTCCTAGTCCGTTCCGCTCCAAGGATGTACGGCTGGGGTAAGGCAAGATACAATGCTAATCGCGGTTAACAATCCAAGCATGAAAATTGTTGGCATCTGAAGTTCCTTGGAGGAACCCCGACCTTCTCATTTGTTGTATGTCAATGAATAAATCCCTTTCGGCCCCAATTTGAGTGCATGAGGGGAAGAAGCGTTCATATTTAAGCTTCTTGGCAATCCTTGTGATCATCCCGCCAAGGGCAATTTCTCTCGTCTTGTGACCCGACTTGATTGCCTCGCAGCACATGACGAACCAATACCCCATGTTGAGCCGCCCTCTCAACTCCTCCCTAGTAGTAACCCACAAAGTAAAGAGCTCTTCATGCGAGAGCTTACTCAAGTCTTGCTTGCTAAACACCGCAAACCCCAGTATGCGGTGAAGGATACGGAGAACAAGGTGGATAATATGGTTGGCCACCGAATACCTAGTGTTGAACTCTTCAAAATCGGTAATCGTTTGCCACCATCAAAATGCATCGTACTCTGGGAATAGGCTCAATGAAGGGGCAAGGAGGTCCGCCTCGGGGTTCAAATCCAACAATGTATTGAGATCACTAAGAGTCATAGTGTGCTGGTTGTTGAATAGTTGGAAGGAAATTTGGAAGTCGTTATTCCCATGTTACGGTGCACGTATTCTACAGCAGTGTAGTTTGCGCGCATAAAAAGATAGTTTTTAAGTATTTCCAAGCGTTTTGGCTATAAAATAGGACCAATTTATTCATGATATGCATAATTACAAAACATAAATAATTAGAATTTCATATTTCAATAATAATGTCTCAGAATTTTGATAATACATTGCGCGACTGGTCTTATTCTTTGACCAATGCTGACAAAAGAGAACTAGAATTGTTTCATGTTAGAGGCTTATTAGCCTTGAGGCATGTAGCAATTGAACATTATTTTCTTAGGGCATCTTTAGATTATTGGAGTCCAGAAACTCATTGCTTCAAATTTGATTATGATGAAATTTGTCCCCTGCCAGAAGAATTCGGTGCCATCTTTGGTTTTCCAGCCAAAAATCTATTGCAATGCCTACCCTACGTGAGTATTATTACCAAGACTTTGTACGCCATCTGAATCTGACAGATCCAGATTTAATTGAAATTGTGTGTGGTAATGAAGTAGATTTAGAAAATCTTGCAAATTTGTATTTCAATCATCCTGTCTCTGAGTCTTATCATGTATACCGTAGAAGGGCTTATATTTTTTGCATGTTTAGCAAGCTTTTATTTGCAAATGGTAGGGGTAGGACATGCTTGTTTAGCGTCTGTCCTTGAACATGTTGAATCTGGAAGATCTCTTATGCCTACTTGCCTTGGAGAAATTTTACGTGGCCCTGACGAAGCAAAAGCTGACCGGAAAGCCATCAGGAAGGGCTCTCTAGTACTGTTGCAGGTAAAAACACGCCCTGATTAGCCCCCGTGTCACAGTGCTTGTCGTCGTGACACGGTGGTTTTCTGCTTTTTTTCGACTAATTTTTTTTATTTAGCATATTTGGTTGATGGAGCGTTTAAAACTTTTTGAAGCCCCCGACGGTATTGAAAAATATGATCCCAATGATCTGGTCTGTAGGAAGAAGAATTACTCTACAAACATGTCATATGATGATTAGAAGGTCTTCTTTGCAAAGAGAGAATTTTCCATTCATTGGGTGGTGCCTTGGTGAAGGCTTACTAGGATGGTTGGCACGAATGATACTCCGTATTGTCGCGTTCCTAGTATTTCAAAGTTGACTTTTTATTGTCCTTCTCGATTGATGCAACGATATGGACTTGAACAAGTAGTTCCACGCTATAACGATAGTCCTCGTGAAGTATCGTTGCATGAAAGTAACGTTCATAAGTACGAGACTTATTGGATTGGAAGACCTTTGTGGACCGTTTCTGCGAGTTACCAAGCTCCTACTCCCTTATCTAGTGCATATAAGGCAAGGTTAAATCCGAGAAGTAGAAGGGATC